TAACATAGTGAATAAACAAAAAAGAAGACAAATACCACTTCTTTTTAAAAAAATAAAGAATAATCAAGAGTTTAATGTAAAAAAAGACTTAAATTCAAGATAGTGTTAAAATAGATTGAAATATCTTATACATTGGCATAGATGTGATATTAGTGAAGGCACATGGAAACTATTTAAGAATCTTGAAAATGCAACAAAGAATGTTGATACTTTTTATTGACAACATCCATTAAAACTAAGATAAAAAATCATGGAATTCTTTGCTATAAATCAAAATCAAGTTTTAATAAAGATTACATTCTATCTTTTAGCCTTGTTTGTAATTTTATTAGTATTTATAGTCCTATGAAGATAAAAAATCAAGAATTAATAGATTCAATTCAAGAGCCATTATTTTTTGAATTACTAAATAAGATATTAAATTTTTCATAGCCTTCAAAATAATGTAATAGATATAAAGATTTTTAAAAACATGTTATCACTCAAATAGATGGCAAGATACAATATATTTAATATCACAACCTTAGAAGAGATTTATCATGTGTACTAATATTATTAAAGGTAAGAACAATCTTTGATGGCGTTTTAAATTTTTATTTAAAAAAAATTATAAAAACCTCAATAATGATAAAATATCAAGTTGATCTTTTTATCCTAGTAAATAATTCTAAAAATAGATAAAAGAATATGTAAGGATAAAATTCACATTTCAATCCAAATTTCAAGATAGTCTCAATTAAGAGTTGTTTGTAATTTTTGATATATAGTTAAAAAAATAAATAATAAGAATAAAAGAAGAAAAAATATAAAATAAATGAAAAAGATGTAATTAATCAATTATCTACTTTAAAAATTATTTACAAATTTTTTCTTGGATTTTAATCTAATAAAGAATAAAATTAAAAAATAAATATTTTATTTTCATATTTTTAATTTTATTACCTTATTAATGACATAAAAATAAATATAAATTTAATTTACTATAAATAATTTATAAAGGTGTAAAGATAATAAATAAATAATTAAATAAATTAAATAAAAATATTTTATCTTAAGAATAACTTGCTTATTGATCAAGGATTTGAGTCTTACCAAAGCTCACACGTAATGTAAAAAGATGGCTGAGAGAGGCCTTGAGGTCTTAGTCTTATCTTCCTACCTACATCCAAAGTATTACGACCTATATGGGACTTGTGCATCTTCCTTCTACAAGAACTATATAAACTGATGGTTTTTTTATTTTCCACTAATAGTTCAATTTTTACATTTTTGACCTGATCATAGTGTTTAAAAACATCTAATTAGTCTAAAATCTTATATAGCCTTCAAATCTTGCTCTATTTCTTCATAATAGCTCCCAAGGTGGTAAAATTTAATTTTATCAAGTCTTCAAATGTTTTCTAAAAATTTCTAAAAAAAATATAATTTTTTTAAAAAAAATCTAAAAATACTTAATATGTTTTTGTAATTATAGTATATATTTATAATTAATATAAAATATATTAATTTATAATTATGAATATTAATTTAAATCAATTAAAAATATTATTTTTTATATAAATAAATACAAAAACATGAGATTCTTTCCATACTCCTTCTAACTACTAATAAATATTTATATGCTCTTTTTCAAGTAATACATACAAATAAAAGGCCAATGTAGACATTGGTCTCAGTAATTAAATATTAATATTTAATTATAAGAAAAATTACTTGACTAATTAAGATAATTACTTCTAAGACTTATTAAGACTTTATTCTTATAATTTTTCTTCTAATAATACTTTTATAATATATAATTTTTTTAAAATTTTACTAAATACTTAAATAATAAAAAATAAAAAATAAAATTATAATATAATCACTTTAAATTATATTTTTAACCAACTTGTCAATTAAAATTTATTAATAAGACTCATATGATCTATCAATTACTTTCAAAGAAAATAAAGATTTAGATATATAGTAAATATAGTTTTTTGCATCTTTGAGTTTTTCAACATGTAATCATCACTCCTTATGGAACTCATCCTTAGAAGAGAAGATAATGCCATGAATATACATCTTTATCTAAATTTAAAGGCATTGGGTAGAAGTAGATGTATGTAAATTCGATAATATCTTATAGAAAAACTTCTTAGAACCTTCATAAGTATGGATTTGACTTTGTATATGTCTATAGGTGATTGGTAGGCTGAAAATCAGGCCAATAAGTTGGCCACATGTTGCATATATTGGACACTTGTAGTAGAAGTTTACCATAAGGTGTACATATAAAACTTTTCTTGCAAATTAGCTATATATTTTCTAAATTGGACACATGTTAGAGGTCTTAAATAACTTTGATACTTACATATTACAAACATATATATTTACTTTAATAGTTATCTAAAATAAAATAAAGAAGTAGAAGTAAAAATAAATTAATTTGATAATAACTTCTAGAAAAACTTCCTAGAAGCTTCAAAAATGCAATTTCATCTTTATATGTGTCCATAGATGATTGATAGGTTGAAGATTTGGCCAACAAGTTAGCCATGTGTTGCATGTATTAGTAACTAACTATGTAATAGACATATAGGAAACTTGCTTTATAAGTTAACACATGAGTCTTGCAAATTTGACACATATTCGGAGTCCTATAGAATGTTGCCAAGTAGTTCTTAGTCAGATAGTATATATAGAGGCAAAAGTGAAGCCTTCTTCATTCTTGTCAATTCCTTTATTTCTTCTAGTTTAGTTTCAAGAAATTCTAGTTTTATTCTCTTTAAGCAATTGCAGTTCTAGTTTCTTTTGAATATACATAATTTTATATTTTCATTTTATCATCTTTTTTAAAAAAAGTCTCACTTGCTTATTTTCCTTCATTGAATTCTTATCCTTGACACTAGCTTTTAGTTAGATGGTATATATATAGAAGCAAAAATGAAGCCTTTTTCATTCTTTAAATGTCTTTCTTCTTCTTAGTCTTCTTTCAAAAATCTCTAGTTTTTTTTGTTTTTGGTATTAGCCATACTAGTTTTGGTATTATACTATCGTTAAGTGATTGTTTATTCTTTTCTAGTAATATAAGAATATTTTAACATTTTAATTCTTTATAATTTATACCTTTGACAAGTTGTCTAAAACTTGGCTTATTATACATATCAAAATTTGCATGAATATTTAGTGATGTTATTGTGATTATAATGTGTACCACAAGAATATTTTTAAATTATAATAAATAAAATATTTAAATATAAAATTCCAATTTGATATCTAAAAGATAAAAAAATAATTTATAGAATATAAATTAAAATAAAAGATATTTTTTATAAAAATAATTATATAAAAATCAAATAAATAAAAAATAGCACTTATTTACTTTATTTTCATATATATAGACAAAAATTATTTATAAATCTTTTAATTTAAATGGATTTTTTTTATTTATTTGATCAAAAAATTATATATTTTATTTTAAATATTTTAAATATTAAATTAATAATTTCAATCGTATTCAAATCAAGAAAAATCAAATGAAAGAAGGTTCTTTTTTATTTTTAAAAAATTTGACCTTTAAATCATATTAGTTTTAAAATAATTTTTTAATGTTTATAAGGCACTTGAAATGTATAAAAATTCTAATTAAGTTACTATGAAAAGCCTATAGATGTCAAAAAATAATATAATTTCTACTTTAAGATTAAATTAATAGATGTTTTAAATTTTTTTTTGTTAATGATTTTATTTTTAAAATTTTTGTTATTGAAAATTAATCAAAACAACTTATGCATGCATAAACAAAATAGTACTTAAATATATATATATATATATATATATATATATATATATATGTCTTTAAACTACTATAAATCATTAATGAATTAAAAAAATTAATTGAAATATTATAGAATTAATCTACAAAATATAAAATAAAATATACAAAAAATACACATTAATAAAAAAATTTCATTATTTTTTTATTTTTTAAATGCATATATATATATATATATATATATATAGAGTAATATACTTATAAGATTTTTAATTCTTTTTTAATTTGTAGACAAGATCTACATTTTTTATTTTAAAATGTCATAGTTGCATTGATATTTTTTAAAATAGTATCAATTAAAATTTAAATCACTTTAGACATAAATTATTTATTAAGTCTTTGATTTTTTACATGCATATGTAGTATACATACATGCATATATAGCATACAATAAATATAATAAATATATATATATATATATATATATAGATATATATATTTGTTTATAGATGAACTATTTTTTGTGTGTCTATTATATTTCAATGTCTTAAATGAGAATGGCCTCTTGTGTAATATAGATATTCTTTCAAAATTAAAATTTTAAAAATACAAGAAACTTTCATTTGCTTCAAAAGTTTATTTGGATTGTTATTGATATTTTATTTTTAAATAACTAAAAAATCAATTGAAAGAATATTTTTCATATAAATTGTTCAAAGGATTATTTTTATTTTAAAACCTTTCCAAAAATAGAAATATGAAGAAATTAAAAGTGGATATTTTAGATTAAAGTACAAACTACAAACATTCTAGAACATTGGTTTGATACTTGGTATATACACAAATTAATCAAACATTCTAAAACTGACATGCTACAACTAACATTCTATATATTTTGATTTATCTTACATATCTCTTTGTACCACATTATTTAATTGTGTGCTAACTTCCAACAACTTTGGCTTTTGATACAATAATACAAACCATGATTCCAAATAATCCTTTAAATTTTAATAAAATCCTAGCACAACCAACAAAGAACTAGAGAGCAACCACAATCTACGGTGGAAACACAACAAAGAAACCACAAAGATTACGACACCGTACAATTCTCGACGAAGCCACAAGTGGAATCCCCCAGGCTAGGTATAGGATCTGAAACTGAAGCAACGCCACTCTTATTTATGGTCCACTGAGAAACACATCGCTCACATGAAGAAGAGCTAGATTGATTTCTGGTATGTGAAGTTTAAAGTTTTGCTGAAGATTTGCAGGTGGATTGTGGCTCAACGCCGCTGCAGCTGTGCAATGAAGAGAACATGGTGAAGAGTTACAAGGAGCTGAGCGATTTGGAGTCAGTTTACAAGCCTTTTGAAGCCAATGAGTGATGGAACCATGGCTCGCAGGACTAGAGAAGACTGCTTTTCCACAGTTGGTTCTCTTTGGATCTGATCGACCTGGTTTCCAGGTTGCGCAACAACCCACTCAGATGCTCACCTCGTGAGTCAATCACAAAACAATTTCATTAATCACTGCATGTACAAAGAGATACACTGCCACTCATCGGCTATGGGCACTTGGGGTGCACTGAGACCAGCCTTGGTTAGAGAGAGGTCATGGAGATGTGGAGCTTGCTTAGCGACGTCGATCGAATGTTGATTCTCTGAGAGAGAGGAGGACGTATCCCTATTCTGCTTGTTGCAATTCTTTCGTCAGCGTGAAGTGGCCACTGGGCGTTAGTTTACAGTGGCGTTCCAAAAGTTGAACAAATTTCTGTGTCAACGTTTTTGTTCGACAAAGCGGAGAATTCTTTCGGTCTACATGTTTGGGTTGATGTGGTTCGAGTAGTCGTAAGTGCCAGCGCCCTCCCAACCCATCCACTCTTCCCACTCGTCCCAGTTGCTATCTTCCACTCCCTTGAAGTCCTCCAGATTGTCCGACGCGTCATTCTCAAAGTTTCCGAAATGTGAAGTTGACTCTTGAATCAATGCCTGCCGAAGTCGCGGAAAAATCTTGTCAGTGAGGTCTTGGATGGGAAGAAATCGGAGTTGGAGGAGTAATATATTGCAGACCAGTTATATATATATATATATATATAGATATATATATACATATGCAACACTTGAAAGAGATTCGAGGGAAGGGAAGAGCTAACCTCATAAGCTCTCTTGACTTTCTGAAACCGCGTGGAGCAGTGCTCGCTCTTGCACACATCGGGGTGTAGCTCCCGTGCAAGACGACGGTAACTGGTTTTAATCTCTTGCTTTGTAGCAAACCGGGAGACTCCCAGGACGGCGTGATGATCTTCGGTAGCGTGGCTGTGGGGAAGATAAGCTCTAGTCATCAACCTCGAGCCTTCGTTTTTACGTATTAGATAACTAGTCACCCCTCGGCTCCAGATTCTTGACACCACCGTCTCTCGGCTTGAAATACCTGGAGGATTGTATATACTGTGTAGTGCTGACAGATCCATGCTCAACACCTTTCACCGTGTGCTGGAGACAAAGCTTCAATTTACTTCGCTGCAATGTGGGAAGGGGGTTGAATCAGCGAACAGTGGTGATGAAGAGCTATGCCTATTGCGCATGGACAAAAATCTCGTCAAGAACTCAGACTCCTATACCCCAGATCTTATACAGAACCAAAAACAAAATTTGCAACCCCTCTTTGATGCAGCTGGTTACTAATCACTAGCTCTAAAGGAGGCAAAAGTACTCAAACTGCTAATTTCACAGCGAATAATAGTTCTCTCAATTCAACTGAGAAACTGAATTTTCAACTTGGAAATCATTCTTGGCTGGGAAATCGATACAGATAGCTCGAAAACTTGTGAAAATTATCTCGCGGATCAGTGTACGTGAGAAAGCAGATAGACAGAGAAGCGTCCCAACGGACTAGACTACACGTCTTTGTAACGGTGCACTGCGAAATTCTGGCTTCCGGGTGAGAGTCCCACAATCACGGAACCAACCAAGTGGTCCTAGATGTATCCGGCATCGTTATGTGGTTCGCAGATGGCATGATCTCGCAACTTGCAACATCAGACTGGGAGGGATTCCTTCCCCTCAGTTCACACACAAGCATGAAGGAACCAACCGCCCCCTCCGAATTTACTTCTTATTCCGTCAGCAAGTGGAGGAGGCAAAACCTCAAGCTCACAAATGCAGGCAAAATTAAACAATTCACTCCCTCCCGCCCTCAGTTACTTGGAAGATTCCACTGAAGAGCCGTCAGCTACGCTTTGACCTGCCGAACGAGCTGTGCACACCAACTGAAACGAATCAAGGGCACGTTCTAGTTCTGGAAGTCGGCCTATGTGTTCATCGCGATACCTTTTTCGTTAAGCTATTTGCATGCACGAGATTATACTGTCTGCACGTTAACACAACACCATCACGATAAAAAATTTATGAGTAGGCAAGTGATGTCATGAGTTAACAACTCGGCCATCTGAATTTACCCGGAAACATGTCGATCTTATCCTGGGCGTGTCTGCAGTCTAAAACCACTCACTCACTCCGACCCAACGTCCAACTTTGGTTCAAACAAGGCGACGCATGACTGCTTCAAGCCAGGATTTTTGTTTTCTGTAAATTACAGCCTCGCCAAAATGGCAGGTGAGTGACTCAGAATGATAATTTCATCCAGTCATTTCAACTTACCAGATCAATATTCACCTGTTTTTCATTGAAAAGGGAAGTGGATAGCGAGTAAAGCTCTGTAGTTCGGTGGATATCTTGCCAGTTTCCGTGTATTCATGCGCTTGCCAGCCAAAACCGCCAAAGCAAGATCCCACGTTGCGAAGAATGGCATTTCTGGGACCACTTCCACGGAAATGGAAGGCAAGGAAAAGCTGGAGAGGTCCTCAGAGACAAGCCTCCAAATCCTGTTCCTTATCTTGTGATCCTGGCTTTATCCCACGCGTCGCCTCTTCTCCCGTGGGGACCACTCTCTCCCCTTCCTTTCCCTTCCCTGTTGCCTACTATTTACTTCTCTACTTGTTTGTTGGGTAGATCCCCACCTCCTTTCACATTGTTTTCTTCCCTTCCCTTCCAGATTGACTCCCTTAATTCCCCCTTTTCTTGTTTATTTTTTCTGCCACCGTGACACATCCAGATTCCCTCCCTACTCTACCTGGCATCTTCCCCTCCCATACTGGTCACAAACTGGTTGTTTTGGAAGCTTCAAAGATTCATTGTGTTTGCATTATATGGTCAAGGATTTTAGGGGTTTGACAGCAAACCTCTTCCTACCACCTTGTCATCTCTTGATATGGTTTAAGATCATTACAGATTGAAAATGGTGTTTTTGATCTTGTGAATTCATTAGATTTACTCTAATTGGATAAATTAGTGTGATTACAAGATCTTTGTAGATCTTTGTAGTCCTTAATCAATCATTGCATTAATTGGTTAGATGTGAAGAAGTATGGCATGGAGGCATTTGTCATGAAGCACTTGACGCATGTACATAAATTCTATATGCATGTTGACATTGCAGTATTTTATAAATATAGACAATAAATTGAAATGGGAGTCAAGTAAGATGAAAGCATAAACATTGATTGCCCTCAATGTTAAGTCCTTACAATTGATACAAATATGCAAATATATGTTAACAAAAGAAATGTAGGATGTTTTGGCTAGGGTCTATAAGCTATTAGGGATCATTCTTAAGATCTTTTTAATGAACAAACTCTACAATCTTTGATTTGTTAATAGAGAACTTAGAGAGAGTTTTCTTTGCAAAATCTCTTTCCTTAAGGATCAATAAATTAAGTCTAGTGGTAAAAAAGGCAAACAAAGTATGACTTTTTTTATACTTACTATGTTGTTAGAATCATAGGCTCTACTTCAATTGATTGCATTATAGAAAAAAGAAGAAATTACAAAAGAAGACGTGCAATTTGTATTTTTTGTGGATGAGATGTAAAGAAAGGAGAAAAACATCTCTCTATTTTATGCCTTAGCAATGCATCCAAGAGAGAAACAACCTTTGAAGAAGTATTATTTACAACACAAGCAAAAGCCTAAGATTGGTAAGTTTAGAAGCAATTGTAGGGCTTGTGGACATAAGGGACATTAGCAAAATGATGCAAAATGTATCAAAACAAATAGAGATGTTGTATTATATAAAGTCTTACCTAAAAATATATTAAGTAGTTGGTTGTAAAAGATAAATTTGAAACTATAAAAACAAAGTCTTGAAAATTTTAATAGAATTGTAAATAAATTTTAATTAAATATTAATAATTTTAATAGAATCTTAATAAAATCTTAAAGAAATAAAAAAATAAATATAAAAAAATCTTAAAAAATTTATAAAGAAATTCATCAAAATATTATAAAAAAAACTCCTTAAAAAACTATATATAAATATTTAAAAAATATTGAAAATAAAAAATTCAAAGAAATAATAAAAAAATCCTAAAGAAATATTAAAAACAAAATATTAAGTAAATTCTAAATAAATCTTTAGTAATTTCTAATTAAGTCTTAATCAAATCCTAATCAAATCCTAAATAAATCTTAGCCAAAAATTAAATAAATCTTAAAAAAAACCTAAAGAATTTTTAAAAAATCTTATATAAATCCTAATCAAATTCTAAAAAAATCCTAAAAAAAACCTATAAAAACTTAAATAAATCCTAATAAAATTCCTATGTTAATTTTAAAATTCTATTAATTATTAATAAAACTATAAATTTTTATTTTTAAAAAATTTACATTTCAAACTTCAAGTATATAATATCCATATAATATTTTAAAAAAATTCAAATTTATCGATTGGAAGAAAGAACTTCTAATACTCTCAAGTATTGATTGTTATCTTTGTTTAACTTAATTATTGATTTTTTAATGGCAACTATTTTCTATTAAAAGTTCAATTTTTGCTAATCTATACTCTCACAAACTTTACTTCAATTGAACTAACAAATTTCTCAAGAATATAGAAAATTTTATTGATCCTAAAATTAAAAAATCTGAGATCCTTAAATCAATGCTAAACAACATTTCTAAAGTCCGCTCTCTAACATTTCTCTCTAATTAGAATTTTTTTTTTAAAGATATCATAGATGCATAGTTTTATACCTTGAAGTTTGATTTCAATCTAAGTTCACAATAAGTCTTCTTCGAATATTAATTCTTGATTTTATAAAGTAATGTTTGCTACAAACTACTCTTAAATCTCTCTTAAAGATGTGTATATTATTAATTTTTCTTAATCTACTTTATTTTGCCTTATTTATAGCCATATAAAGTAAGTAGAAGCTTTTTTTATAAAAAAATTAGTATTATTACTAAAATATTTTACTACCTCTATCTTTTATTTTATTTTTTTTGCCTCTATATTTTTTAATTAAGCTTATTTATAATAGAACTTATATTTCATTTTTTATTATATAATTGTATTACAACACAATTGTAATAGTAAAATTGTCAAGGAAAAGAATTCAATAAATACAAATAAATAAATTAATTTTTTTTTCAAAAAAAAAATGAAAAAATGGAAATAATCAAGATAATATATTAGTAAAGAAATTAGAATGAATATTGTTAAAAGATAAGAAAATTTGAGACAATTGAAATTAGACTGAAAAAAAAAAAATGATATTATATAAATAGTGATATTCTATAGGACCTCTGATACATCTAATTTGCAAGAGATATGTCTTAACTTAGAAGGCAAATTTCTTATATATGCACCATATTGTTAACTTATATAACAAGCTACCAATACATAGGATATATGACTAATTTATTGGCCAAATTTTTAACCTACCAATTGCCTATAGACATATATAAAGAAAAAAAAATTATTTATGAAGTTTTTAAGATGTTTTTCAAGAAATTATTATAAAATTAATTTACTTCTATATATTTCTACATATTTATATTATCTAGATAACTATTAAAATAAATATATATATTTAAGATATTACTTCTTTTTTAAAAAATAAGTTCTATGAAAGGCAATAATTTCATATTGATAAAGTCTAAGATGTAATAAATTATAATTTTTACATACTCTAAACATTGTTTCCATTAAAGATAGTTGATAGGTCTTCTTAGCCATCAAAAATATCTTATTCTAAGGCAAAAATACCACTTTATTATTTGATCATTTTTGACACCTTTATAACTTTTTTCAAACAAAATATTTATTACACCATCAAGAGTCATTCCTATTTTCAATAATATCACCAAACATTGAACGTTTTTTCCAAAAATGTCATACCAAATGTATTATACCTTGTCACCTATTCAAAAAAGAATATGTGCCAAAGACACAAACTGAAAGAGGATACATAAACTCATAGAATCTGTGTCAAAAAAAAAATGACAAAATAGAAAAAAGTATGTATATTCAAGGAAGAACTAGAATGGCTATTGCCAAAGACTAGAAAACATAAGACTCTTGAAACTAGATTAAAAGCAAAAAAAGAGTTGATAAGAGTGAAGAAGGCCTCACTCTTGCCTTTATATATTCTATTTAACTAAGAACTATGTGGCGACATGCTATAGGACCTCTAATATGCGTCCAACTTGCAAGACACATATCTAATTTATAACGCAAGTTTCCTAGGTGTGCACCAAATGTCCAACTTGTACTACAAGTAGTCAACATGTTGACACGTGGCCTCCTTGTTGGCCAAGTTTTCAACCTACCAATCACCTATAGACATATATAAAGACAAAGCAGCATCTATAAAGCTTCTAAGAAGCTTTCTACAAGATATTATTATATTTATCTACTTTGATTTATTTCTAACTATTCTTATTATCTAGATAATTATTAGGATAAATATATATGTTTGTGACATTACTCCCCTTTCTATGAACAATTTCCACAAGGAGCGGTGATTACATGTTGATGAAGTCCAATATGCGTTGAACTATATTTGTCATGTACTTTGATCTTTATTCCCTTTGAAGGTAAATGATAGGTTTCTTCAATCATTGATAATGTTTCATACCAGTGCGAGAAGACCATCCTGATATTTGATCATTATTGAGGACTTTATAACTTCTTTCAAACAAAACATTAGTAATACTATCAAGAGTGGTTCTTACTTCCAAAAGTATCACTGAACACCAAGAATTCCTTCCAAGGTCGTGGTACCAAACGTACTATATCTTACCATCTATTCAAGGAAGAAAATATCATTTTTGAGGATTTTTATCTCGATTTTGCCATCTCAAAGGTTGAAATAGTTGCAATGTCTCGTTTGATAGCTCAGCAAATGATAATTCTTGAATTGAATTTGCTAGTTTTTGATTATC